CCATTAGCTTCCTGTACAGTTCGGGTGCACCACTATCACAGTTAATCTAAATTTCAATGCCTCACGCACCCCGAAATAAGTAACCAAGCTATTATCATCTCCAATCACAGTTCTGATGTACATCTGATTAACTTTCCAGCCAAACCAAATGTATGGAGGATGAATACAGCAGTTCTCAAGACCTTTTAAAAATTTGGACCATAATTCTTGTTACCTTCTTTCAAGTCGAGTATTGTTTTTACAGGTACTTGTACGTCTAAGTACTACAACTTTCTATTCCATGGACTATTTAAACAACTTATACCACGTCACAATTAACCGGGTGTAATCACGACTCCTGTTGCAGATGTGGTCCTATGAAACACCGATTCGATGAGAGGTCAATGGGCTTCACTAGTTCGACAGTTAGATTTATAGGAATGAAAATCAAAAAGGTCATGATCGCTGGTTTTGTTCTCGAACAAGTTTCACCCCCTTAACAAGGTTGGCGAGAGTCAGGTGAAATCTACTGATTACCGGAAGTCTGTAGACTTCAGTGGAACCTTTGAAAATTATTTTTTGCTACCCGTATGACTAGGTTTAGGAACCACTAGCAGACTACTCGTATGGACGAGAGATCTAACTGACTGGAAACGGTAAGAATCAACTCTAAAATCAAAAAAATTTTTTCTTGAATAATGACAGAGAGGAGTCCAGCAAGATACGGTACTTGGATGTTATATCTGTGGTATAAAAACGAAGTATGTGCAACACGATCTTTAGATCTTTGAAGTCCTGAAAAACATCCACTTGATATGAATAGCTCATGGTAACTTCACAGCATGTTTAGACTTAAATGCACAACGAAAAGTCCCAGGTTTACGTGTGACGCACTCACATTTCTATCACTACAGATAAAAATATTAACTTAAGAAAACTCTCAAAGTCTTAATAATACTCCTCGACAGACTGATCTTACACCTAAAGCTAAGTCATAAAATAAACCTTTTGTTACATTTTCAGATTTGGGATACTGATAAATCAGCTCATTAAATAACTTACCATAAACCAAAACAGAAACGAAAGGTGTCTTACTTCCACGGCTTTATCCAATTCTTTCAGACTTCATAAGCTTTTGTATAACTAGAGCCCCTACTATGAAGACAAAAAATTCCCGCTCGGTTTAGGATCATCAACTTACGGTTTCTAACTACTTCCACAATAATCTCAAATATAAGCTACCTTCAGTCCCTTCAGTTTAAGTAAGATATCAAAATAACACTCTTTCTCTTAAAGCTTCCCTTCAAGTAGCCATTACAGAGCGCTACTCACCACTTCATGTCTGCACATATTTTAGATTACGAACGACTATTCGAATATTGAGACCAATCTCTGTATAACTGACATTACCTATGGATCTTGTTGGAACTGTCCACGATATCCCGTAAACACTACGTTAATTTTGACAGAAAGTCACTTAGCGAGGCCATCTTTGCTATTAATGATCCTCAATGCAAACAGTATCAGCAGGTACTGAAGAGAGTTGGTGACATAATCACCCCACAAACCTATTGATCTGGTCACAGGGAAGTGTCCACTGGAGCAACTAGTGTGATCATGCAAATATGAGACAAACAGGGACACCCACACCATCTTTAGTCAATCAGAAGAATAGACTTACGAGTCTTAAAGAGTCACCATGTGTAAGCCATAATGAATTGTTATGGACGTAGCATCAGGACTCTCAAATGACTAATACATTGGGATCGTGAGCAATATTTCTGCTATTATACATACTTCTATTCGGGTATAAATCAAGTGACTTATTAGTATTGGACCTTTACTGGCTGTGAGCCTTTCGGACGAGTCCCGCGCACAATCCTAGAAATGAGTGGGTTGGCTAAACAAGGTACTTTTTTCGTTCAAAGACTCGTCTTCATGTAACGTAGTTTTCATTTCGACGTATAGAGCAAGTATAGCAAACCGAAACTTTCACTGAGCGTCAAGTTGTCTGTCTGTCTGGATTCAACATAGAACTTGGCACCGAAGTGCAGCAGTTCGAGTTGCCACGTTCCAAATAGCACACAGAGGTAGACAAGAAGATGAGTGAAGAGAATTAATAGAGTTTGACAAATATAAGAGTGAAACAGAATGGGTAATGGTAGAAAGGAATATGAAAGATTACAGAGATTGAATACATCTGCGCCATTGACAACGATTTTGAGCCATGTCACCTATTGTCTCCAGCCATTGATTCCTAGAGTCCCGAGGGCCCCAACCCGGGAGTCTGCATCTCCCTACCTGACTCAGTTTAACTGTCAAGGATTTCATGGATTGATGCCATGTTTTTGTTTGGCCACCACTGGCTCTTTTCCAACCTGAACCTATATCAGCTAACAATGCCCGTCGGGGGAGGCGGTGGTTAGGCATGCGCAGCACGTGACCTAGCCATCTTAGTCTATGTAACTTTATAACCTCGTCGATTGATTTTCCCTCTTTGCCCAACACTCTACGCCTAACGTCAACATTACTTATCTTGTGAAACCACCTAACGTGAGACAGAGATCGCAGACATCTATGATCGAAAGCAGTCAACCTTTTCATGTCTTCAACGCGTATTGGCCATGTTTCAGAGCCATAGAGAAGGACGGAGCGAACTGATGAGCAGTACACACGTCCCTTGGTTGATAACCGGATGTCACGCCTACGCCAGAGATGGTGTAAGTCAGCGAAAGCAGCTCGAGCTTTTCGGATCCGTGCTGAGATTTCATCGCCAATCAGTCCGTTGGTGCTAATACAACTTCCCAAGTAGGTGAAGTGGTCAACATGTTCTATCACTTCACTCCCTATCACTAAGTTAGGGGTTGACGTCGTCCAGTCCTGTAGCAGCATCTTACATTTTGCAGGGGCGAATCGCATGCCAAACATACGAAGATTGCTGCTCAAGGTGTTCAGAAGACTCTGCATTTTGTCAGCATCCTCCCCTAACAGGACTATGTCATCTGCATATTCTAAGTCCATTAGATTATTCCCTGGTAACAAGTCGATTCCTAAGTCACTACGTTCAGTTAAGGATACTTCCATTAGCATATCTATGATGAAGTTAAACAGAAATGGGGAAAGTGGACATCCCTGTCGGACACCACTGGTTGTTACTAATTCAGATGACAATTCCCCATAAGCCCTTACACGACTACGTGAGTTTGAATAGAGTGCCTTGATTAGTGCAATGTACTTTCTTGGCACTCCCTTCACAGTCAGACATTGCCATAGTACTTTTCGGTCCACGGAGTCGAAGGCCGCCTTCAAGTCAAGAAATATGACAATTGTTGGACGCCGAAAAGTGTGTCTATGTTCTAGAATCTGTCGAAGAGTGAAGATATGATCTATGCACCCTCTACCTGGTCTAAAGCCTGCTTGATTTTCCCTTGTCTGTTCCTCCCGAGTTCTGCTTAGTCTATGCATGATTACTGAGCCTAGGATTTTAGAGACTATGTTCGTTAGGCTGATCCCCCTATGATTATCACACGAGGACTTGTTTCCCTTCTTGAATATCGGTATAATGAGTGACTTACCCCAGTCTGATGGTACTGTCTCTGATTCCCAGACTTTGCCTAGTACCTCAGTTAATCTACAAACTAGTATGTCACCCCCATATTTAAACACCTCCGGAATAATTCCGTCGGGTCCTGCCGCTTTGCCTCGTTTCAAATTACTGATAGCTTTTGTAACCTCACCTACAGACGGCGGACCAGTGTCTATATCCCATTCGGGTACGTGGTGGATGGCGGGGAGGTTCAGTGTGGCTGTAGGCAAGTTAAATTGTTCCTCAAAGTGTTCTTTCCAGCGTTCAAGGCGTCTATCCTGAGAGCTAATTAAGGAGCCATTTTTCTCAGAAATAGTCTCACTTATGAATTGCCTTTTCCCGCCCGATTCTGTGATGAGTCTAAAGAGTTGCCTAGTGTTGCCTATCGCCAATGCTTTTTCCATCTCTTTCGCCTTTGTCACCCACCACTGTTCACGGTCCTTGCGGAGACTTTTAGTAAGTTTCCTTTTGTGCAGCTTTCGCTCCTCATTGAATTCGGAGCTCGCCGGAATAAGTCTTCTAGCATCTATCAGTTCGGATGAGGCAGTCGAAATCCAGTGGTTTTTACTCACCTTTGGATTTGCCTTATTCACAGCTTTTACAGCTGTATCTATAGCTGACTGAATATTCTTCCAGGCTTCTCCAGGGTGAGCACAGCTGTCGGATTCAGATATGCGTTTAGCTAGTTCTTCCTCAAATAGGGATTTAGTTTAGTCAAGTTAGTAATATCTGAACAATTTGCCGAGCCCAAAACTAACGTTTTACAACTCGCTCCTCTAACCCGGTAAACAAATTTATACAACGTTTCAGAAGAAATCAGTATGGCTAAGATAGTTAATAGAAACTGAGCCAGTGAACCTGAGCATGGCCTGGTGAACAAACTTTCAAATACGTCAACATGCATGATTTATTTCCACAAAGATCCTGGAAAACCTTAACACTTCTAACTAGAAGAGAAAGGAGTTAACAACGAATGGTAGTCACTTATTAAAAAGAAAATAATTGAAATACTGATATAGGAAATGGTTGACTGAACCTTTTCAGTACCAGTGATCAATAATTCAGGAAATGCCTTCCTACTCATGAAACCCGGAACCACTTTGAAGGCATCCTGATAGAAACTTGCGCGTCAAATACAGCTATTTAAATTTTATGTATTCGAAAGACCATACTAAGCTGCCTACTCAATACTGCATAAAAACGCACAGGGAATCCTACCTGTATTTTGTTGACGTCATGAGACTCTTAAAGCCATCTGAAGCAAATAAGCGTGCTACGTTTATACAAATACCTAGAAGCTGGATACAAAAAATACAATACATCCCAGATGACACCTAGTATTTTCTTCAAACATTGATAAACTAGGTATATATATATATATATATATATATATATATAATATATTAATTAATAAACACAAAACCGACAACAGTTTACTCGACCATGCTCTCACCAAGTACATCTAATATAGTGCTGAATTATGAGGTTCGACCATATTATTCCCAAAGTGCTCACAAAAAGACCGACAGTTTAATCTGAAGATGTCTAGCGAGCTGAACACGTGGGAGTAAACTTAGGATGCTAAGAAACCAGCCGTCAGGAATCGAGAAGACTAGAGACTGATTACCTCACCCCTTACTTTCATCTTCTGGTCAAGCCTATGGGAGGGTAAATGGATTGATCATAGCTGACTCACATAATGAACCCATCTTCGAAGGTAGCACTTGTTTCCCAACTAATGAACCCTTCCCCTTGATAGGCTATCACAGACAGACAGTAAGTTCCGGATTACTACCTTTCAGACGTACGCAGCACAAAACATTCACCAAACTTTTAACCAAATAACATCATAACACCAAAATTAATGCATGTACCGTCTGAGGCGTCATTAACAAGTGTTAAAACTCCATGTTTATTTCCGACATTTATGTATTCAGGTGTTTACATGGGCCGACCCCTACCATAACCTCCTCTGAACTGAACTTCACTGTCACCAATCGCTGCTTCTTTTCCAGGGGTGCCGAATCCACCCATGCCAGAAGCGACTGGACCTCGTCTGAATGCTACACGACCATCAGACGGACCACGTTGTCCTCCTTGATCCATACCTGGAGCCGGTGCACGAACATCCCTGGGTGGTGCTTTCAACGTCGCTGGAATGATATCAGATGGAAGGTGCAAAACCTAAGCAGCAATAAAATAAAAGATGTGACCTCACCTCACGTAGATAGTTAATTCCATCAGTTGTGAGGAACCAGTAATATGTTCTCCAAGCATATTGCTCGCGAACGTAACCACGAGATTTTAGTGATCGCATTGTTTTGATTACGAAGAGGTTACGGACATTGATTGTGGGGTGATTATAACACGGACGAGTATCATTTCTTGCTGTCAACACGCCATCCTGAATGACCTTCTCAAATATGCTATTCCGAGTTGCGATTGGTAATAACATTGCCCACGACTCTACAGAAGTTGCGAAACACGCGGTAAGCCAAGAAACTGAAGTGGGCGCGTAGAAAACCCCGCAATACGATAAACAACTTTTTGACAGTCCTAGACCCTAATTCGAGGATCTTTTCCATAGAGAGAAAAAATGTTGATATTAACATACATCATATTCTATTCAAGCAGTAAGTAGAGAATGATTCTTAATGGATGCGTACGACTTCAGATTCAGGATTTAAGCTTCAGAACAGCCAGTGACACTTTCCATTGCATATACAGTGTATATCAGATTTCAGATTCATTGGTTGAGGACAGAAGGCTTGGAGCCCATGTTAATCCTCTTCTAGTAAATTTCTGTGGCTGTTCAATCCCTTCTTGAACGAATCGCTTGAGGTTGCAGACACCACTTCTTCTGGGAGTCGGTTCCAAGAGTTTATGACTCAGTGCGAGAAATAGTACCAAACGCCAATATGATTTCTTCTTGGCTTTTGAACACTCCTGCTATGTCCTCTAAGGTGTTCCTACCTGGTGGGAAGGAAAAGAGAATAGACCAGGTCCGTAGTCATTATATAAAATTTTAAACATTGTGATTAAACCTCTCTGCCTACGGTATGACAGAGAGAAGAGATAATAATAATAATTATAATAATAATAATGTATATTCTCATATAAACATATAAATTTACATGAAAATGCATGCCATTTTTACAGGCACGATCAAGTATGATATAATATCAAATCGTAGATTGTCTACAAGTTAATAATGTTTCAACAGTTAAATATTTGATATATATATATATATACACATTGTCTGAACTAGGCTGTATAGTTATTGAATTGTACAATTGTCCTCCAGGTTGAGCGGGAAAATCGACTTCGTTTCGTTTTCATCCCGTGGTTGTCGGCATACGATAACCAACCAATATTGAGGTAAGTACAACGTTTACAAGGGATTGAAAGCTGTTTTAGAAAAGTAAAAGTGCTGAGGTGAATCATTAAATTGTAATGAAATAGGTAAGTGCAAGTATCATTAATAAATGCATTAATAAAGAAAACTCCCTAGGCTGACAACGTTCATTTGCAATGTATAATGCTACACGTATATCTCGTACTATCATGATGTCCACTTTTGGTTTTAATACATTTATCCTCAGTTGTGCCAGTTGTTTTTGTTTTATACCTTTTTGTGCATTTAATGTACAACCGTACCCTTCAGAGAGTAGGAATATAATAAGTCATAAAGAGCTGTAAAATGTTAGGTTTAATGGGATATAATGAGGATCAAGTAAAGACGTTATTGGAAAATGAATGAGATAAGACATTGTGAAGTGGTATTTAAAGATCAGTCAATGGACAGCAAGTTAGTTTATAAGATGCCCCATAAATCTGTGCAGATCCCACGTGGTCGCATCTCAACAATAGGCTGAGCGAATGGTATATATTTAAAGGTAGAAGCATGATCTGTCAAGGCGTTCATTATTATCTTTTTCAAGATAAAGATCTAAGCCCTCATAAAAATCAGAAATATCTCGAGCCTTTAATTTGTATATTGCTGTTCCTGCAGAATGGGGCGATTCACCTTAGTGACCCCCACCATATCTACTGATCAGCTAACGCCACCCTCCCTCCTTTTTTGATGTTAAGCTCTGAGACTATGATTATTATGGCTACCGCAAATATATTGCTTGGTACCAGACATGTTCGTACCTCATATTCCATCTCCCTAGCTTTCTTAATGAGTGCTTCCAATAGGTCTCCGCGTACATCTTTATGAACATTATATATGTATGCATGCGTCCTAATGAACAGATTACTTTACAAGAAGTTAGAACCTTAAAGAATAAAAAGAATAGGTTTTGTGAATAGTGAAGCAAGATTCAGCAGAACAATATAGTTAGGGATCAATGTAGGTAGTATGAACTGAAGGTAAGGTCGGTTGGCAGGACTTAGTGTACTAAATTATCATGACAGTCTTATATATAGTCAACATTTGACATTGCAAAGTAACCTGTCTACATATATTATAAAAAGATATTAACAGAACCAACAAAATTTCAGCATTTGTTTAACAATACTACAGAAGGGTAGTTAGTACTACAGGTAGTCGTAAAGTAAATCAATCTATGTATAATAAGAGCATAGTCAGTGTCATAATTCGTATTATCAAAGAATACATTAGGCTCAATAACTGAGTGTTATAAGGGAAACAAGCACGGTAAAGCAAGAGAACACTTGCCGCATAGCTATTTTAATCATTTTAAGTATTTTAATGACAATCGAATTTCAAGTATTGAACCTACATAATTACTAAGTATTATTATGTTAGTATGGGAACTAGTGTACTTTCCGTAGTTAAATATTGAAAAGCCATTGTCTCTCCACTCTACCAGCAGTTGAGATCTTTGAGGCGGGCTAGGGTGGACATGTTTATATGTTTTTCTAGGCTCCTTTTGAAACTGTCAGGCCTTTCACAGGATCTTATCTCAGAGGGTAGTTGGTTCCAAAGTTTGCAATATTTAATGGTGAAGAAGTTAGCTCTAGTGGTGAGTTTATGGGTGTTAACCTTGAGAAGGTAGTTGTGGTTGCGTAGTCCATACGATTTAGGATTAGCCCAGGTTATGGACGAGTTACTGTTACAGTGCTTTCTTATAACTTTGAATAAGAGAAATAAATTGCACTTCACTCTCCTTAACCATAAGGGCTCTAAGTCCAGTCGAATACATCTGTCAAGGTATTCTATTTGCTGACCATAGCCTAATATGCGTTTCGTAAGGAATCTTTGGACACTTTCAACTTTTTTTCTGTCTGCTGATTTAAAGCTACTGTATAAGTGGGCACAGTATTCAAGTTTGGGGCGAATGCATATCTTATATATGGCTAATCTGGCTTCTGGAGTGTAAAAGTTGCGTAGCACAAAGCCGGTTAGACGTTTACAATCAGATACCACCTTATTTGCATGTTCAGTAAAGGTAAGATCTGAGTATGTTATCCCGAGATCTGTGACTGTGTTTGTGTTTGAGACAAGGTCACCGTACATGTATAGACACATGCTAGGTTTCCAACGTCCGAAGTATGTTATCCCAGATTTAGCTGGATTGAACGTTAACTGCCACTTTTCACTCCAATTACATAGACTATTTAGATGTAAACTGTCTAGTCTTTCCTCGTATGGCAAGTTAGCCATGCCGTGAACCATACGTGTTGCCTTCCTTTGAACAATTTCTAGAATGTATGGGTCCCCTGTTAGACAAGGACTGGCGGCCTGGATGCAGTTTTCCAGTCTTGACCTCACCAGAGATGTTTATAAGGAGGTGAACATATCTCTGGTGATTCTAGTAAAGGCTATGTGAACTGCCCGTAAGGACCTGAAACTACGCGCAGCCACCGCGCAACAGTGTGTTGTAGTTTTTAAGTCGTGGCTAGCTGTGACATCTAAGTCCGAGTGAGTCTGAACTAATGTGATTCCCTCTAGTTCGTAGGAGCTCGTGCTCGATTGTCCAATGCGCATGGTTGCACATTTCGCCGCATTTATCCGGAGCATCCACTCTATGGACCACTCCGACAAATTTTTGAGGTCCTCTTGCAACATGGACGTATCACTATAGCCCTTTAGCTCTCTCCAAATTTTTAAGTCATCTGCGTATAGAACCATAGGGGAGTCGGTGAGCAGAGATAACTCATTGATATACAGAATAAATAGGAGAGGTCCAAGTGCCGTGTCTTGTGGCACTCCGCTATGTACTGCTGTCCAAGAGGAGAGTTTCAAGTTGATCCTAACCCTCTGCCTCTTATCTATGAAGAATTCCCTGAACCAGTTTAGTAATCTGCCTTTGATACCAAGACTTTCCAATTTCATGAGTAGTCTTTTGTGAGGTACTTTATCAAAGGCTCTGCTGAAGTCTATAAAGACAACGTCAATGGGTTTTTCTGTTGTCCCTTGATTTGACCCAGCTTTCTCTTGCAGTGAGGAGATTTGGCAGGCATGAGAGATTCCTTCGGAAGCCATAGTGTGCTCTGGATAACAAGCTGCTGTTTTCCAGATATGCCATGATACTTTTCTTGATGATTCTTTCCAGGGTCTTGATTAAAGTGCTGGTGAAACTAATAGGCCTGTAATTTGAAGGGCTTTTCTTGATCCTCCTTGCGGATGGGAGTTACTGTGGAGTCTTTCCAGTCACGCGGTAACACTCCATTTAGGATAGACAGCTTGAAGAGGGTGGTCAAAGGACCGGCCATGTGAGCCGATAGCTCCTTGAGAAGCCTCGAATGAAGATTGTCAGAACCCATTGATTTTCCTGCATCTAGTTTCATCAGGCAGTTGAGCACGATACCTTGATCGACATCAAGGAATCTATCACGTGTTTTTCTGATACAGCCACAGCTGATCCCATAGGGAGTGATGACTCCCGTGTAAAGACTTGGAAGAAGTAGTCTGCCATCGCTTCCTCCTTTTTCTTGATTTTCTTCCATTATATCATTGTCAGTAGTCAGTTTTGGACACCATTGGATGTTTCATTCCTGAAGTTCATGTACGAGAAAATTTCCTTGAAATGTGGCTTTGCATTTTGAGCCAAATGTGCTTCAAACTTCATCCTTGATTGGTAGATTTTTGCAATAGCTGTATTCATAGCAGTATTGTATAATTTCCTGGACTCAGGAGTCTCAAGTGTGGCAAACAAGCTCCAACATTTGTGTTTACGTCTGAGCAACCCACAAATCTCTCGGTTTATCCGACTTTTCGGGAAAGATTAAGGAGTGAAAGGTTGAGTTACTTAGGCGTAGAGTTGTTTAAATTGGTTCCATACAGCTTCCACTTGGGACTTTGGGTGTACTTTGATGTACCAGTTCACTGAGTTTGCATTTATTTCAGCTTTCCAGACGTCGTGTCGAGCTGGGGTTTTGGCGCTTGCTGCTGTTGCTGCGAACTTTAAAGTGAGCACAGCATGGTCCCTTCTTTCCAAAGGAAGAAGACGTTATTTAATAATAATAATAACAGCTTTATTCCAAACAGTATTTGTGGTACAGGTATGAGATCCACATCCCCACCGTGGGAGAACACTAGGTCCAGAGTTGAGGAGGAGTGCTGTGAGTCATAGCGCATAGGCTTAATGACATGTTGGACTA